TATGTAAATTCGTATATTATTATCTTTACTATTTCAGACGTAATCGACGATCTATACAAGTTGCAATTAACGTTCGTTTATCGCCGAGTAAACAACGTAATCAACGTTGTAATCAACGTGTCCTTGATAATGGCAACTAATTCCGAGACTTAACATAGACACACATAATTATTTCAGTAAGTTGGCACGTGTTCCGGCCATCCGCGTGAATTTTTTCTTTCGCAATTAGGCGTTTGTGTTTAAACCTACATAAATACAATGATTAATAAACGCACTTCCGATATACAAGATTCCCTACTCTAAATCTCCAATTCGCAAGGCGAAGGCGCACGCGCGCGATAGACAAATAATTGTTTTTTTCGCTCATTTTTCTTCGACGGTTACACACAAATGACATATAAAAGAAAACAACGTAATAATCAACAAAATTTAAACAATGCACATATTGATGCTAAAAATATACGATAGTTCCGATTTTGTAATTTCGATTACTATCAGCCTTGCTTCTTACTACCACCACGCTTCTGGATATTTCGGCGGGCTGCCAGTTGCGAATTGTAGTTCTATCACATTAAGGTCCAATTTCATAACTCACTCAACTCATCCGTCATCTCTTTTTAATTCTAGAATCGGAAAGAGATGAGAAATGAGTTAAATCCCGGTTAAGAGTTAACAGTGAATTGTGGAACTAAGTCCGAGAGACTTATTCTGTAACTTCTTAACGACTATAACCCTACGGTTATTACTCGTGAACAAATTATAAAAATTGGCTCCTAAGTGTCCTTCGATCGCTACGTTATTTATCTCTTTTTTTGTTTTTAAAGCAATACTGATATTTTGACGCCAAAATAACACGGGTGAAGCATAAAAATCATTTACAAGATGTTATAAAGTCGAAATTCTGAAACAAGTCACCGTACAAATCGATATTTGTTACACATAAAATAAACGTTAATTCGAAAGAAAAGCATAGCCTATTAAAAAGAAGGAAAAGCCTGTATTCGTTGAATTCCTTGTTCGGAGTTCGTTCGCGTCGCCATTTAAGTAAAAATGGTGGAAAGCGACGAGGAGGAAAGCGGAATGAGATCGCTGTCTTTTATAGATAACGGAAGGCTTAATTCCGCCGATGGTCGATTCATTTCTGGCTCATCTCTGGTAGATTAATTTGTCGATCGATGAGCGCCGCGAGTGGCTTGGATGCGACGTGAAGGGAGAGACACGGAGAGTATGACGTTCGACTTCCACTTAAGAGTATTATTAAAGCTCGATTGTAAATGGAATTTGCACGACGCGAAGCTGAGTCGGCATGAAGATATTTTCCAGCGTGAAGAACGCCGAACCGTTAAGTTAATATAACGAGTATTCTCTCTGTTCATCGTAATTAAGATGCGATAAAAAAGATTAAGGAACAATAATTCGCGATAGGTTTCGATAATCATAATCATGTAAATTAGAATACGGTCATAACGTAATTTAGATTTATGTCTCTCATCTTTCCAATTTATTAAATTTATCATACCTCGAACATGTACAATATCTGACTATATATAACACCCAACATTTCTATACTATATATATATATATCCATTAATGTTTCTTATTTTACATTGCACAATATCCTACATATAGGATTTCGTCAAGAATTTTTAGAATTGAACCGAGTGAGAATCCGCCACGCGGCGTGTCGAGTAGTTCCAAACGGCGATTTTTCCAAACGTCCGATCGATAGATAATCAAGTTCCGTTTATGCCGGAAGGATGCTGCTTCCGGAAGCTCGCATTTGCGGAAATACATTCGGGGACGAAATACATGAGAGGCGGCGCGAAGTAAATCGAGCAACCGCGGAGCGACGCTCGAGATATACGCGAGATGTACGCGAGATATATACGAGTGTCTGGGAAGAGAGAGAAGGGACAGTGGTGGTAGTAGAGCGATAGGCGATAGGCCGGCAATAGAGGCACTCCGGCCGCGCCGGCGGCTGGATCTCTTTAGCATTAACACGCGATATACCTGAAAAACCAGTTTGCGGGCTTTTTATTAGGCCTTTACTTTCGCTCGCGAACTGAAAGTAAGAGTGAGCGAGCGAGCGAGCGAGGCAAACGAGGCCTGTTAGCGAGCGAGCTAACTAACGGGGTCACCAGTCGATACGGATACGCACGTAAACGGAGACACGCACACACACACACACACGCACGCACACACACACACACGTACGCACATATACGCGGAGACGGATACATAATCGCGCGCGAATGTGCACGAAGAAAGAGATGAGGAAAAGAGGAGAAGATAGAGAAGTGTACGCATATAAAAGTACGCTATATGCGTATGTATATCTTATGCATCCACTTACACGCATGTAAGACCCCGGAGCGCCACGTCGTCGCTACCTCCGCGTATGTATAACGCGCGTATACACACGCGGATGCACGCGCGCGCGCGCGATACACTGAATGTTTACGATGTCTAGTAAAGAAAATGCGGGCCCCAATCGCCGCTAGAAAGAAGCCGCCGAGAGAAAGAGAGAGAGACCGGGTCTGTTACGTCGTGCCGATCAGCCGTGATTCGTGACATTACCTCCCTTTGTTCAACACAAGTCGCGTTCCGTTCAAATCAACGTACACAGAGGAATAGGTAGTTTTATGCTCCCTCGTATTCACTTCGTCCTCACTTCTATCTCTCATCCTCTTTTTCTTTCGCTCGAATCTCTCTGCCTGTGCCCCGTCCTATCTCCAATCGTCGCCCTGTTTACTTCTTTTTCTCGAACGTTTGCGCGCCGCGAGTTTCAGGCTACGGTTTTCAGAAACGTGCCACCTTCCAAACGAATGTCCGGGACCTGTGATTATTTTACTGCGCGCGGGATTACTGTCGCGCCGACAAACCGCAGTTTCCTTCAACGATAATATGTGAGTAAATAAAGAGAGAGATAGAAAAAAAAGTGAACGTGATAGATGTAGTAGTTTTCAGATGGAATGGATCAAAATCTTCGCTTCGCGCGTACGAGAATGTGAGACGGAATTTCGGGCGAGCTACGGCGCGATTTGTCGAAACAATTTGGCATTGGATATAACGTATCACGGTATTTTGACATGCTCTCGAAATTACCCTCTACTCTCGGACTGCTTTGCAAACATTTCGAAAAATATTTTTTCTAAATAACTCTTCTCCGCGCTCATTGATATATCTCTTGATATATCTCGCCGTAACTCGAATTATTATATTGCAAGATTTTTCTTCGTGGGGTTCATATCCATCCGACTCTCACGGGGAGACAGATCTAATCATCCCCCATTAAAAAGCCATAATTTCCTTTTTAGCGTTGTGTCTCAGCACTCATGTAGTATTTATCGCCTAAGAAAACCCACGGTCGATCAGACATGTCCGGTGTACATGGATATGTAAATGTACATCCCTGCGAGTATATGTATACGTATGTATGTTGTGTGTGTGTGTGTGTTTTGTATTTACACTCGCTCGAGTTCTCGCAGAAATGAAAGAAATGCGGCTCGGAAGCGTTTCCCTTTCGATTTCATACTCATTTCCCTTCTCGTTCCCCCAGCCGTGCCGCCCCGCTAACATCATCTTCCCGAATTAAATCTTATCACGTTATACACAGTATCTAAATGAAATGTGTTCACAGCCACACATTAATTATTTATACATAAATTTATACATATATCTGTATATATTTAAATATATTTATATTTATATATATTTATATATTTTTCCGTAGTTCGCGACGTGTTTCCTCCCTCACCGAAAACAGCCCGTTTCCATCTCTTACGTATCTCTTGTCTCTCCCTGCCCTTGCTATCCGGCACGCGATCAGTTTTGCGAGAAAAAAAAAAATCAGGCGGGAGGAGACAAAGGAAAGGTTAAAACAGGAGGATCGTGCCTCGCTCGAGCCGTCTGTTCATTCCAACACTCTCTCCTCTTCTCCCTATCCACAAGTTCCATCGTGGAATATTCCGCCTCGCGTCCATCTTCGATTCTTCTTTCTTCGTTTTCCGCTTCCTCCTTAACGTGGCCTCGTCCAGAATTCGCTGTACGCAACGTCGACGTCCGTTTCATCGACAAACGCTCGTTCCGGGACGATGTCGATATCTATTCTCCGAAATATTCGTATTTAGTCAATAAACGAGCGGCGCTCGTTTCCACTAATCTAAGACCATCTTGCTCTTTTACTACGGTTATGTCTGTCTTTTTTTTTTTTATAACTCATCGGAGGAACGTTTTTTCCCGTCGTATCTTTTTCTAGTCTTCTCCGATTTCTTTTTATATTTTTATTTTTAGGCACAACACATCGTTTCTGGAGTCTTTATAGTCTTTTGGTTGTTTTACACCGCAACTGTAGCCGGTACCAGCGTCGGTCCTAACTTTGCTGCAACGATCGCCACCGAAATATCTTTACGAATGCTTAGAAAGAGCAGCACTCGCGACGGAAGGCCGAAGACTCACGATAAGAAATGCTTCGTGTCTCGTACTTGCCTACCGTTTCTCACATCGTCGACGATATCATACGTTCATCGTCCGAATTTTATACGCCGCCTTTCGATCCACGATTCTATTGTTACTGCTATTTTCAAATGATCATCCTCGATGCCGAAGAGATGACTTCTTCCGTATACCGTTCTTGCACCCAAGCTCGTATCACCCCGACGAACGTCAACTAAGGAGCTTAGATTCTTTGACATCGGACACGGAACGATCAATATCTGCCTCCACATTTTTGGACACTTCGCAAGGACTACAAGCGCAACAAAAGTCTCCAGGATCTTCGAAAGGACAGTAGAGGCCGTAAAAGCAGAGATAACAGAAATCGCACTCTCTCAATTGATATCTTTGATACCAATGATTGTAAGAATCGACGTGACTGATTGTAAGTCGGTTAAAGCAGCAACAATCAGTGATCGTGGTGGTGGTAGTGGTTGTGGTGGTGGTGGTGGTGGTGGTGGTGGTGGTGGTGGTGGTGGTGGTGGTGGTGGTGGTGGTGGTGGTGGTGGTGGTGGTCGACGTCTACAGATACGACGTTATCGCCGATATCGTCGCATCACGAGGAGCACGCCATCCAGTTGCAGGTGCACGTGTAGCATGCCGTCGTGGGTATCACGGGCGCGTAGTAATAACCGTTGGCGTAGACGTAGGTAGCAGGCGGACCTTGCGGCGCCTGTTGATGACTCGTCAACCGCTGCTGCTGCTCCTGGCAGAGCACTTGGTAGGCAAGGTTCTGAATCAATGCGAGGGTTTGCCGTCGCTCATGGCCCATCAGGCACACGGTAGATTCCTCGACAACGCTGTGCAGCAGCATCAGGTACTGATACTTGAGGGCCTCCTCCTCAGGCCCGACAAAGTGATTCCACAAGTAGTTCTCAAGTTTGGAGCGTTGTTGTCCTATATCCGGGAAATCAATGAAGAATCTCGAACACATATATCGTTCGAGGGTCTTGATGTAATCCGGCTGAGACGGTTTGTACATCTTCACCAATAGATTGCAATATTTGAGTAGGCCGCCGCCGCGTATCTCTTCAGGATGCCTCGTCGAGATGAGCTTTTTGTGCAGATGATAGAGTGCTTCTTGAAAATCACCGTAGACTGACTCGCCAACCACGGTCGGGTAAAAGTTCTCGGCGATTGGGAGCTTGCTGCACTCGTAGAAAAGCAGCAAGGAATCGAGAACGATTTGAAAGGAGTCAACGGAGAATTCAAATTGCCGTCTCATCGAGTCGACGAACTTGAGCTCGACATTTCGATGGCCCCGGGAGTTGCCGAGGGAGATCAGGGACCACCGATCGCCATCGTTGTTCACTTTCACCATTTTGCTTACGTAAGCCTCCTTCAGACTGCAGGTAGTGATGCGTTTGCGGCTCACGCCTTCCGGCAGCAGGTCAAACAGGGAGCCAAGCACTGCGGCCTTGACCTTGTCGTAATTACGGCCGCTGGACAGCTCGACCGCGAAGATAAGGTCCAGGTCGTTGTACGGCTGGGACTCGGTGGCCAGCACGTGGGAAGCGGCACCTCCGTTCAGTCGGATATCGCGTACCCTCATGCCGGCACCCCCGTTGCTCGGATCGGTTTCTAGCTTGCTGCGCACCACCGTCACGAGATCCCTCAATCGGACCTCCAAGGTGGGGAAGTTCCCTCGGCCGTGAATGCTGACGACTTCGTTCATCACATCGTTCAGGCGGCGGACCTGCTCGAAACTCAGCACCGCTAACCTCTGCTGAGGATCCGGACAATCGGTAGCATTGCTGTTATTGTTGTTATTATTGTTATTATTGTTGTGGTTATTGTTATTGTGGGTATTATTATTATTGTTCGTGTTGTTATTGTTGGTCTCATTGTTAAGGTCTCCATTGCCGATGGCGTTGGTCTTACTGCCGTTCACCTGGCAGAGCGACTCCATCATAGCGACCCGACGCTGGCGTTCCTCGCCGATCTCCAGAGAGCCACACTGCAACAAATACAAAAGACGAGATTTTTACGTGACTCTCTTGCAAACGGTAGAATTACGTACGTAAACGAATATTGTAAATGTTATGATTTTTATTCGTTTAATTATAGATCTTTCGATGAGAAAACAAAATCAAAACTTTCTATTTTTTGTTGTAAAGGATTTTACGAAATATTTGTAAAGAGCCAATAAACACAAAAGTTCTTATATGACTTCTAAATAAAATTTTTTTAAATAATTTTTCTAATTTTTCTATTTTTATAAGCAGATTATTATTTCCATAAAATTCTCGACATTATTTTTAAACGATTTCTTATCATATTATTCGCATAATGTACAATAATTAAACGCGCATAATTTTGTTTCTAAACTATATTCATATCCTATAAAAAAATGTATGAATATGCAAATAAGATATGCAAATATGTTACATTAATACGGAAAATTGTATCTTTCTGATAAATGTAGAATCACGATAATAAAGGTCTTCGTATGCTAATGCTTTCGCAAAACTTGCGTGATGTTGTACAATGTCACACTCTGACCCACACAAGACTAAAGGTCGGTAAAGGTGAAAAAAAAAAAAAAAAAGGTTTCTAACATCTCTCCCGCGAATTTCCGACGACGAGTGCATCATCGAGCGCGCCCTTCGACGAGTATCTATGTCATGGTGCATAAAGTGTATGGGTACATGGCGAGAAAATGCCACGAGGTTACGTCCGGGTGTGCGACGTACGCGAGCAAGTCAACCAACGCGTATATAAAGCCCTCGGCTATTGGCTTTCGTATGCGGTTCGTGCCGTTCAGAAAAGCGCAACAAGTCGATGCGATATTCCGGAATAATGCGATATATCCTTTTTGACTGTTGAAATTTCAATTTCAATACGCAAATACTGGAGCACGCGCTTTCTTATCAAAAGCGCGAATATACGTAATCTAATCGGCAATCTAGAGATATACTTTAAATTAATCTTTCGGCGTGAGATCAAAGCCGATGTTTTCTCTCGATAAAAATGCCGATAACGAGGAATGACGTTATTCGTAATGAATTTCTAGTTCGTATCCGGCATTTAAGTTTGGATTGCCGTGCAGAACTTTACGCGGCGTCAACCTGTCGCCAGAAATCAGCCTATTAGTTATTATCAGACTTGCTTGTTTGTGCACCGTACGTGTTTCTGCGATAATAGGTATACCTCTTTGAAAGCAATTATGTCACGAACCAGATTCGTAGTAAGACGTCACGAAAGATATGTGATCAGAAATTTAGTCTGTAATCTTAAACAGCTTTTAGAAACATAGCGTAAAGTTTAGATACGCTAATCATTCGAATTCGATAAATATCGAATGTTAACCTTCCGCAGCTGACTGTGGATCGGACCTATTCAATTAAATCCTTTTGTCAAAAATGTCAAACAATTCCATTTTCTTTATGTTACATCTGCAAATTATTCTTACTAAAATACAATATTTAGTTACTAAAACAAAATAATATTTGCTATTAATTCTGGTTTCTTGAAATTAACTTAGTGTCTTTTAATTAATATAAATGAAATGGATTTTACAGAGCTGCTGTCAATAACTGTCTTATACATTTTGACGTCATCTCCGGAAGGTTAATAGATTGTGAAAAAAAAAAGATGACCCTCAACTTTATTACAAGTATCTATCTATCTCGAATCGCAGCTGATCGAAGCTCAGCGAATGAAAGGAGTCAACGGAGACGAAAGGAAACGCTGCGAGAGTTCTAGAATGTCCTATATTATATTGAGAAAGCTGGCGTCGATTTAGCGAAGGTCTCGGGATGAACTGAGAAGTCCGAACTATACTTTGGTCTCGTATTAAACAATTAAACTGTTAAAATTAGTCCTGATTGAATGTCACAGGCGGGAAATAATTGGCTAAAGTAACGATGATAAAATGTACTTCCGACGTGCTATTTCCGTATCATTTGCGAAGAATTAATCGACAATTGCCAATAAACGAGCGTCATTTTACGGATATATAAAAAAATGTTAATATACATTCTCAAACTACGGTCTCCTTTATTCCTCACGACTGACAACATTTCGAAATAACAAAGCGATCTATTATCTCTGTCAGATACTACGCACAATCAAGATCATGGATGTACCTTTGACGCGCATAAAGTAAATCGCTATTACCACTTATTGACAGGAAGAAAAACGGGCGTTTTCGAAATATATCTGTCGTCGTAATATTTTCGTCACGACTATTCGTCGATACAAAAAAATGTTCTGAGCCAACATTTTTCATAATGCCATGTCATTAGTCTTAAATTAAATTATTTACATCACGTTCATCATGAAAATTTTGTATCGCAATCTACACGGAAAGAAATTTTTAAAGTATCTAAAAATTTAGGCAGATCTGAAAATAATTTTGTTGAGCATAAAAATTATTTTGTAGGATGGCTTAAATATAACATCACATAAAAAGTTTTGACATTCTAGCAATTAGCTGAGCGTCATAATATTATTTTAATGATTTAACAAAATTATTTTCACATCTGTAGCTAAATTTCTAGGTACTTTAACCAAACTGTTCTTTCTTGTACAGAAACGAATATTGATAATAGATCAAGCTTCTTGTTCATTAATTTAAAATGCCATTGTTTTACGTATTATACTTTTAAACGAGCTCATTATGCTAACAATTTAGTAGTCCTAATTCGTCTGGAGATAATTTCAACGAGACAAATTCACACGTTTGTCAAATATGAGCAAAAGCTCAATTATAAGCAAAAATGTTACTCACATAAATCGTCGTATTCTCGAACGTTATTATTAATTGATTATTCTCGTATGACCCGCGAAAAGAAAACGAACAAGCGAATCTTCAACCAGCACGCAGCTTCTTTTCAAACTTTAACATGATAATATGAACAATAAAGAGAAAGCACCACCTGTAGCGATTTGGACATGCTATCGCCACCGCATAGTATTCCCTTAATGTTGGTACACGATAACGTAAAAATAGATAACTTCATAAAAGAAGTCTCTCACATAAATCAGAACTGTGACAAATCACTTTTCCGGCACTTCACATCCGAGAAAATAGACATCCAAAACTATTTATTATACTACGAAGCGAGTTAAATGAGCGGTGCGCGATTTCTCAGAACGCAATAATGATGAAGAAACTGGTACCCACGGATCCACAGGTGCGACGCAAACAAACGCGTTTTTCCCAGAAGGCCGCGGAAGGCCGAGTAAACATATAAACGCAGAAGCTCGTTGAGAATTACCAGGGAAGATGCAACAAAGAGACGCGGGGTATATCTACCTAAAAAAAAAAGATTATACGTCGGACTAAACAGGTAGTACAACGTCGGACTGGTTGCGTCGTTCGAAGAGACCCGCAGCTGATGAGGTACACCAGCGAACTGAGGCTCGCGCAAGTGAAAGGCGGAGGAGCGGCTAGAACTGGTGGTGGCACAGCAGCGGCAGCAACGGCAGCAACAGCAACCGCAACCGCAGCATCAGCATCAGCAGCAGCAGCAGCAGCAGCAGAAGAAGCAGCATCAGCATCAGCAGCAGCAGCAGCAGCAACAGCAGCAGCAGCAGCAGCAGCAGCAATACTCGGGGGATGTGGGAGGGCAAGCCAGTACGAAGCCCTCTACTATCGCTATTACTGATGCCACCACCGCTACCACCACCACCATCATCGCCTGCTACCATTAGTAGACGTAATCCTGGACCATAGACGTAGATCGTATGTGCGCATCCTCGATCACTTCGTCTCTGTCTTTCTTATTCCTCTCTACTTCGCCTATTGCGCGCGCGCGCGCGCAAGATAGTGAATGCTCCAATGCTTTCTATGACGTCACACGAAAGATTGTGGGGGCGGCTCTGAATGAAGAGCGTAGTTCGTGAGGGTAGGTTCGATTTGGCTCTCTCTTCCCCTCGCCCTCACCCTTTCTCTTGAATATAGGGTGTCCCAGAGGTATTGAGCGTATCAGTAGTTAGAAATTAATGGTTGGGGAATTGTATGGAAAGCTAGGATCAGTCACGATGAATTGAACCTTAAGGTGGTGAAAACATAACAGAATCTTTTCCTTTTATTCGACTAACGAATATTTATTTTGCGGTTAAATTGAAATCGATTTCATTTTGCAAAAACGCGTAAATCTTCGTCGGATCCCCCTGGAATTGTAAAAAAGACTTATACGTTCTATACCTACGCAATAAATTGAAATACCGAGAAACTTTTGTAGAATTAAATCGCCACTTGGCTTTTCATATGAAATATGTATGACGGAATGTGAAGCAATATGTTGATATTAACTTATTTCGACTCCAACGCGTCTGGAACATCTTTTCCGGTACGTGCTACTTGCCTAAATTAAAAAGTAAACCATTTTTCTGCAGAATATCAGAGAAATATTTTTCTCATAGTGACTTGCGAACTCTCTAACAACGTGTTTTTGCGCTGGAAAATTATCCGAAAATGAGAAAGAATCGTTTCTTTTTGATACTTCTCCCTCGATGTATCATTAGATTTACGAAATGACTCTTCACGAAACAATTAAGTTCCGTATTAGATACCAGTGGAAACGAAATAGAAACGCAATTATTCATTTCAGCAGCAAATCACTAGAAAGTACATCAGCGGATTGAATTGCTCTGCGAGACTCGGAAAGAAGTTGGCGGAGTTGGCTCTCTTGGTCGCCAAGCGTCACAAAGTCGGGAACACCCGGTGTACACCGAGAAGCGGCGCGACGCGACGCGACGCGGCGTCACAGAATATATATATATATATATTTTATACGTATACATGTATTTCTGGACGCCTACGCGCTTCGGCGTCGGGGAGATGGCCTGGACCAACGAGGCGGCGGCGACTCGCCAAGTACTATCGATTTTGTCCGACATCCGCAGTCGTCAACCCACGTCAAAACCAGTCGGGGTGTCGCGTTTACATTACGCACTCGCGTTATTTCGCGTCGCGTAACAAGAGTATCCCTGCCACCCCCCCCCCCC